ACGACAGGAGTTAGACAAGACTGTCTACCATCAACTGGATGATATTCCCGATTGGGATGGAGGTGGAAGACAGGAATACGTGGATTCGACAAAAAGACTCCAGGAGATTTGGACTTTGTGCACGATTTATGTGTAATGCCACATAAACTCGAAGATCTACAGGCGAAAACCAACAAAAACTGACAGAGGAGGCTGGCAGTGACGAGAAGACTTCAAGTGAATACAGCAGAAAAGTCAGGAATGATAAAATATTACACCCACTGATCAACAATAACAAACACCGATCATTGTAAACGGGAGAAATATAAAGAAGATTGCCTATTTCACTCACCTAGCAGCGGTATTGTTTCAACCACCACCTGCATTACTGAACTAGACGCCAAAAGGCATGATTAGAAAGTCAAGACAGACCTTCTGAAATCAATGTGGAAATCTTCTGCATTCAGTATAAAGGAACATGATTCTGATCTTAAACATTAATATCAAATCTGAGAAATCGTAGAGTGGAATCCGACTGATATACGACGAGTTGAATGTAGGTTCTAGAGTGACATGTAGTATATCTTATGGTGAGGAGGATATATATATATGTATATATATATGAAACCTTATGGATAATTTATGGAGCTATTTTTGAAGTACTGCAGAGAAGAGAATGAAATGAAAAGGTGATGATGCATCCCCGTGTCCCACTCGGAACCGAAGGAATGATAAACAATAATATGTCTTAACTTTAATTTCAAGAGAATGCGAATGCGCTCAATACACTACAATACAGTGTTCCTACCCAATTTGATGTTTTGTTTCTGCCTATTTGTTGTAAATACAAATGTAATCACAAGTGTTGACGTCATTTCAACAAAGTTACTTGTAGCCGCTTAAACGATTAGCCTACATGAATACCTAACCAGGTTACTGAATCTGATAAATAGTTCATGTTTGACATTAATAAGTTAATTCCATCTGTTGTGACTAGCTTAGGCGAACAGGTGACCAGATAATTAACACATACACACACACAAACACAAGATACACAGAGAATCTAATAATATGTATCATCATCGTTTTTATTACGTATTTACTCTTTTACCTATCATTAACAACATATATGTTCATCACTCTTATGATTTCTGTGATTGATGACGCAAAATGTTTCCAATACATAGTAGAAATACGCCATTTCAGGTATGTATGCATATGAATTGTACAATCCATATCAGTTCTCATTCGGAAATTAAAATATTCAGAGAAGATATATGTGAATATTAGTAACCTTATGCCCTTTGATTCCTAGTGGAACATAAATCTTCACGGGCACGGAATCATTTTCCCTGTTTCCTGCAGTCCCTATAGTCGGCTCCACGACTGTCCATGAGCTCTAGTCTCCTCCTCCTCAAAACACGATCTCCTCCAACATCAACTCTTCGTGTCCTGTCTGCCTTTTTTACGGTATGTTTGTGTGGCAGTAGGTTCTTCTTGTTGGTTCTTTGCTTAACAGAGTTCCTTGATGCTAAACGTTTCTGTCCATCTTATCTTCAGTACCCAGACAGTGAAGGAAGTTGTTGATAAAAGTCTGAAGCCGAATTGAGATGCTTTCGCGACGCGTGCGCTAACCCTCTGAACCATACAGAAGCACTAACTCAGTCGACACTAGTGTTAAGGATTCGAATCTTGTTCCTCATGCTAGAGTGCAGAAGATTCCCACAGTGATCCCAGATTAATGAATACCTGTCGTGCCTTTCCTATCGTGACTGGTTTGGATATCGTTATCGGTGCTGCCTATAGTTGAAATGGTGCTGCCTAGACCAGTGAGAGAAGTGTCCCACTGTTATAACTGAACTGAACTGAATAGGCCCGTTGCTACTTTGTTATGTCTGCGCCTGTTAATTACTATAACGGTAATGAACTCGACTGGTACGCTAATATGCCTATTTGTCTGTTGTACTTTACGATTCACTGAGCCACGCAAATATCAAAAGACAAAGGCGGGCCTGTGACTGTAAGATACTGTATAATACTATATAGTTTAAGAAACACCACATGATATTTATACATTTTGCTTACCATAATGAAGTTGGCTCACAACCGTGAGAATGGATTATTCTTATTGGCTGGAAATGTCTATTCTGATTGGTTGGTGATCAGGCAAAGATCAAGGTGAGACAAAAGACGATGAATGGATCACACACTAAATGACAAAATGCGTTATAAATGATACATTCACATAGTAACTTCATCACATGATAAATCATACGATTTGTGAGAAAGGATAATATACTATTTTATGCGGGGTCCTATCACCCACTTCCAGTTTCTCCTTTCGACAGTGATTGATGCTTGTTATTGTTGGACGGTGAATATATTCATCACCTCTGTCTTCTCTTTATTCACTTGAAGTCCTGTATTCTACTGCCAGCCTGTTCTGTTAACTTTTTCGCCTGTAGATATTCAAGTTTGTGTGACACTAGATATAAAAAGTCTGAAGTCTTTAAGAGTTTATCGTATCGGCCCGACCTATTGTTGTCTTCTCGCTCCCCACAGCCTGCAGCATAATCCAATCCACCATAATTAGGCATATCATAGGTGATAATAGGCAGCCTTGCCTAACTCCTGTCTTCACTTAAAAGACGTCACTGACTTTTCTGTTGTGAATCACTTGACAGATGACATCAAGATATGTGTGTCGAATCAGGTTGAGAAAGGATTGGGGCACTCTGTAGTTTCAAAGTAATTTTCACATCACTTCAGCATCAACACTGTCGGAGTGCTTTTTAAAGTCGATGGAGGTTTGGTAGAGATTACTATTATTGTATCCTTTAATTCCTAGAGGAACATAGGGCTTCGGCCGTGCGTCTCCATTGCGTTCGGTTCTCTGCTAGAGTCTTCACCTGGCTCCATGTCTGCCCACACGTTTTCATCTCCTCTTCACATGACCTCCTCCAAGTCACCCTTGCACCGACGACCAACTCGCCGCTTCCCTTTCGGGTTCCACTCGAGCAATGGCTTGTCTAGTGATGTCACTTGATGGTTTGCTTTCTCAGAGTATGGCCTGCAATGCATCTCCATTTCTTCCTGCCTATTTGTTTCACAATCGGTTCCTGGTTGGTTCGTTACCAAAGATCCCTGTTGCTGATCTTTCCTGGCCGGCCATCTGATCTTGAGTGTTGAGCGAAGACAACTGTTAATGAAGGTCTGTAGTTTGTTTGAGATGCTCTTTATGACGCGCAGTGCAAGTCTCTGATCCGTATAGTAGCACTGACTTCACGTTGGAGTTGAAAATCCGGATCTTATTTTTGATGCTGAGTGTTGTTGACCTCCACACAGACTTGAGAGTAGTGAAAGCTTGTCTTGCTTTTCCGATTCTTGCTTTGATATCCTCGTCAGTTTCCTCTGCCTGTAGTTGAAACGATGCTTCCCAGGTCGGCAGGTAGGTGGAGGAGGTTGTTTCTTTCAGGTTCCTCCCATTTATGCTGATTGTTGTCTGTTGGTGGTGTTGTTGATGTTGGTGGTGTTGCCCAGGAATCTTCATCACCTCTGTTTCCTCTATGTTCTGTTCTCTCTCTATGTTCACCTGAAGTCCTATCTTTGATGCTTCTTCTGCCAACTTGTTGCTTTTCATTTGCATATCTTCGAGTTTGTGGGAAATCAGATATATATCATCGGCGAAATGGAGATCCTCCAAGTTTTTTGTGTGTGTCCATTTTATGCCTGTTTCCTCATTGCCCAATGTTTGTCGCATTATCCAATCTACTGCAATCAAGAAAATCATTGGCGATAGTAGGCAGCCTTGTCTTACTCCTGTCCTCACTTCGAAGGATTCCGTAAGTTTCCCATTGTGGATTACTTGGCATGCAGCATTGTCGTATAGCTGTTGGATGAGATGTATTATTGTTGGTGGCACCACGTAGTAGTGAAGTAGTTTCCAAATCACCTCTCGATCGACGCTGTTGAAGGCCTTTTCAAAGTCGATGAAATTGAGATGGAGAGGTGACTTTGGTAGAGAGTGGACTGTCATTCTATGTTTTGTTCCATACTGTTGCATTGCCTCGCCACAAATGTTAAGTATAGATTTTAAATAACTCAGCAGATTCTTTAAATAAAGCAAGAACAACAGTTTGTGCAAAATAAGATGGTATCATCTTGGGTTATTTCGTTGTCTTCTTATCAGATGTGTACAGTCTAGATAAATTATTACGTCTATGTACAGAAAATTTTTTTACAAACTTTACATGATGTCAGTTGACAGGAGTTTCCAAACTTAATGTGTGGTGGTGTGACACAGACAATCTACGCTAACGGAATGTTATTCCCACAGTTCAATTCGGCATTAGCAACAGAATACGATATATGTATTTGGACATTCTATTTCATGTTGTTTAATATAAACCAAAATCACAACCTGAGTGATTGGTTAAAGAATATAAACTGTATAGATATGAATAGCGGTTTGATCATTTGAAAATATACCTTGGCTTTCGTGTCTTGTCTTCTGTTGTTAGGAATGAACAGTGTTCAGAAAATTTCACTTATATAGTTTTTACCATTGAGAGTTGAAGTTTAAACAAAAATCAACTTATGCGTACAGTGGTCAAGAAGTTGCAAAATAAAGAAAAGAGGTTAGTGAGATGATGGGTGAGTTCAACTTACATCATAGAAACAAGAGATAAACAAAACTATATTATATCTAAGGGGATGAGGGCAAAGCCAAAGATTAAGTAATCGAATGAAAGAGAGAATAAAGACATCCAGTCACCAACGAGGGTGAGGAAAGACTGATAACTGCTTCTTTCTGAACAAATAAATCGGGTTTCCAGCGTTTGATAGAGCGATGGCTTCGGCAAACTTAGGGCTAGCTGATCAGATCATGGCATCATATTAGTACAACGATATTCTTATCACTTGGTTAAGCCTTGGTATCTTTATCATCATAAATACTGTTTAACGTCGTATTCAATCTTCTATATTGTTATTACTGCACTCTTTCTTTTCCTCTGCAACAGACTACATTACGTGAAGCAACCCGTTTACTCTCCACAATGCCACGAATTAACAATCCAGAAGCAAAAGGTTTATCATCGCCACTAACACCATTGATGATGTCGTCTGCTGGTGCTGGCAGTGTAGGCATGATGGACGATAATGATAGTGATGATAATAATAGTAACATAACAACAACAACATCAATATTTCCAACGATAAGAAGGATGATTTATTTTTAAAATTATCCACTTGACTATTGTTATTTAATTATTTATTTATTTTGTCGTCTTGTGACTGCTGCCTACAACATTCACTCTCTCTCCATACCACCCAACCGACAATCCCACCCGACCCCCCCACCCTACGCGAAAAAAAGAAACAAACTTATTTTCAGATTTTCTATTATCATTATTATTATTTCAATTATTATTTTCTTTATTTCCTTTTATGTTTATGTGTGTATGCGTTGTGTGTGTATGTGTGTGTGCGTGATTGTGCACGGATTCTAACTTCCATCAACTACCACCACCACTGGTGCTTGAATTCACTCAGCCATCCATTCAATCATGTAACTTTCAATTATGAAATAACCGAAATCGTGTTTGCTCACATATCCACTTCTTGTATATATTACAATGCATACATGCATACATACATATATATGAAGCTTTGTCATTATTAATATTATATGATTACACAATATATTTCATATATTGACGATGGATTGTATACACTAGTATGATCCCCTATATTTTTAGTACATACATAGATGAATATATTATACATGCCTAATGTGATCAGTATTCACTCAAATGTCAATGTCTATTTTGTATTTTAGTACTGTCCTACTACTACTACAACTAAATATATATCCTTGTGTCGTCACTTTCGCATACATACGCTTTTCACAAACACTTGACCTGTTTGTGTTTCTTGTATTAGACAGTTACTTTATGTGATTTTTCTTTCTGCCTCTTCTTCCTCTTCCTATTCCAGAAACTGTGGTTATTACTTATGAACAGTGTATTACTACACTGACTGACCTTATTTTTATTGATGTAATTTCAAAAACAATAATAATTATAATAATAATAAAGGCATTTCCCCCTGAGTCTTTGTATTAAAGGTGGAGCAATATTCATTCCTATCAGTATCATTATATATATATATATATATATATATAGGTCGGTGGCACAGCGGTATAATGCTCTTCTTCTTGTTCTTTGATATTAGTATCTGGTGTCTTCTTCGTATTTGACCTTTCAAGTTCGACCCCACACATCATCACCTCGACTATTCAGTTAATCTCGACAATATTCAAGTGTTAACTTGCAGAGAATCGATTTGATTGGTTACATATTCTCATCATGATGAACTGACATCGGTTAGAGAACCATTGGATAATCAGCCTGGAAGTATTGGACGGCCAGCTATTTCATCAGCCTAGTTCGAGACTGTTCATCAGTACCCACCCACCACAGAGGTTCGAACCCCGGACCATCTAGTTACAAGGTGAGCAGTTTCGTAGAACATTAAGTCCCTGAGACCTGATCCAATGGCCAGCCTATGAATTCCAACTCCTGCCAATTCAGTGGTCGCGCTGTATCGTGAATTGGCTGAAGTTGGAATTCATGGGCCACTTAAAAGGATCGGCTCCCAGTGGCTTGACGGTCTACGAGCTAGCTCGCCTTGTAACTAGATGGTTCGAGGTTCGAACCCCCTGGGTGGTGGGTGGGTAGTGAGGAAGAGTCTCGAACTAGGCTGATGAAGTAGCTGGCTGTCTACTACTCCCAGGCTGGTTTTCCAATGGTTCTCGAACCGACGTCAGCTCATGGTGAAATCCTGTACTTTTTGTTATACGGTGTGAACTGAAGATGACAAGCCCTGGTCATCACTCAGCTATTTATTGTGACGGCGATTGTAGGGACTGAAACCGATGTGTTATGGTCAGGACGCACGAAACCAGTCATTGCGTTCTACCGTATAGCTAACGGAAACTTCCTTGAGTTTAAGCACAGTCTGAAATTTCCCAACACTGGTAAAAAATAAAGCAGTTATCTGTGACAAAACCTGCGGTACTATTTAGGAACAATAATGGCGTATCAGATATTCAAAATTACCTTAATAATGCCGTTAGACAGCTATAGAGGTTCCCTACCTTATCATTCACAGAACAGGTACTGAAAACAAATTATCTAACTAAAATCAACCGTAAGAAGTACCTGAGATTTCGTAACGAACCAATACCAGTTAAATATCCCTCAAAAACCATTCAGCCGAATGGGCTGGAATTCAATGACCTGTGAATTCTAACTTTTATCAATTCGTTATATGGAGCTACCCTGAATAATCTTTAACTGATGTTAGTTCACTACAAAGTATAACTAATCAAATTAATGTTCAAGTGCCGGTTTGCAGAGATTTGATTGGTCACAGGAATTCGTCATGAGCTGACATCAATTAGCGAAGGATTTGAAAACCTGGGTGAACTGGACAGCTGTTTCATTGAACGATTTAACACTGCTGTCAGTAGCCAGTGTCATCGGTCACGAATGTTTGTCCTCATACCCGCGGTGCTCTACCAGCTTATCGACTACTGCTGTATATGAATAAAATATTCCTATACTGAGTCATAAGAAAAAGGCGTAAACAGCGAAGAAAATTTTTTTCTTTTCGATGATTCATTTTCATGAGCTGCAGAGTCGTAATTAATATTAAACAAAGAAATCTTTAGACCAATCAGATACTGGTCAACTTTGTCCTTGAAAAATGTACTACATAGTGTAAGGTGTAAGAAGGGATGACTAATTATAAGTTGGAAAAGAGACAGAATTTGGCATGACCTAATAAGTGTGAGATAATGACTAATCAATAAGCTCGTGTAGAACGGACAGGAACTAGTGGAAAGGCGAAAGTGTTTTTTATGTATAAAATCTGTATGAAGAAGTGATGTTATTAATAAACAGTAATAGAGTGGTAATAAAATGTGGATGATAGGAATAATAATGGTAATAAAAGTATTAACAATAATAATAATAGTGAACTTACATAATAAACGAAGGAAGCAAAATTATAGTAAGAAGACGTTTCCAACAGCCACCTTACGCATCACATTCTCCAGCAGACAATTAATCCAGTCTAACGTTAAGGATAAGATAGCGCTTTTGGCCACTTCAGTGTGTATTTATTAATTTACTCGCTCGTTTGGAGCAAAGTATATCGGCCGTACGCAACGTCAAGTCCACAAACGTATTCTGGAACACTGTCCAGCTTGGTTAGCCAGAGGAGAAAAGAAGAATAGCAGCAGCTTTATCCTCGAACACCTTTTCATCTCCGGACATTGAGCACCCACACTTGCATGAGTGCTTCACAGTGCTACACAAAGTCCCTCAGTATCGTAAAAAGGGACTTCGCATATGCCATCTGTACATAGCTAAAGCAACTGAAAACTTCAGATGTTTGCAATGAAACTGATAGGTGATATACGACTACAGGTCTTGTAATTCTGGTGGTTAAACCACCAGATTCAGTTAGATTCCGGCCACTAATCATGCGTTCACTTTGAAGTCCGTCGCTGTTTTATAATGTCACCCATTGTTTTAATATAAGTGTTTGGAAATAGTGAAAGTTAAATCAATGTAAAGTGTTTGGCATTCGATGTTTGATGGTGAACAGTTTTTCCTTCCAAAAACCCGGTGACATCTCCATCAACATTGTTATTCGTCATGTCATCATCTTAGAGTGTATCTGTAAATATAAGAAAGAGTGAACCAAGTAAAGTGGTTTTGAGCAGTAGTATATTTCAACTCACTCACTGAATTATTGATAGCAGTATAAAGTTAAAGTACCATTATTATTCATTTTTTTATCCTATCACTTTACGTTCCTAGTGGGACATAGGGCTTCAAGATGGAGGTTTGAAGTTTCAGTAGCAGTGGTGTTTATTTTCATGGCGTGGGGTCATGCCCAACCTTCCCTCTTTACTGCTCTTACAACGGCTTAGCGAGGTAAAGGAGTGCGTCTGTCGGGAGGTCGAACCCCGAACCACATGCCTGGTTGGCAAGCATTCTACCGCTTTGCCACCGACGCATAAAAATATTATCAGGGCGAGACACATGCATATGGCACACAGCCTTCTTCAAGCTCTGCACACAACCATTAGGAAGCATACTATCCTAACGCCCTTGGTAAATATGGCAATAAAAGTCCCGAGAACACCATCAGAGCATATGACGGGCTAGTTACCTTGCACATAATGAAATACCCACTGACTGGAAATTGGTTTTCTGGAGAACCGAACGCACTTATCCCTGCTTCTAGCGAGACGAGACCAGCATGCAGTATCTTCCTGCGGCGCAACCACTGGAGATTCCTCTCCCTCAGTGGATCATAAAATACAATAATAATTTCAAAAAGAATTGTATAACAATAATGATTATTCTTATTATTTGCTGTGTTCCAGCTGGAACATACAGTTCCTGAAGAAAATCTTCATTTAATCCTGTCCTCCATAGTTGATTTTAGCTGTCTCCACGATCTGCCTCCGATCCATACACACTCAGTTCTCCTCAGCACGGTTTGCCTGATGTGTGGTGTGATTCAACAGCCACCTCAGCATGTGTCCAATTCATCACCAACTCCTTCTGCATATTTATTCGTGGGGGAATGAATAGGTTCTTGGTTGGTATTTACCAGTCAATTCCTACAAAAAAAAAATAAAGTTTGTTAAACACCAATGTTGTTTTGCCATAAGTTTTACCAACAACTGAACAGTGAACGACAGATTTGCCAGTGATATACTGGACGAAATAAACAAATACAACAAAAACAGAAAGCTACATTTTAGTGAGTGACACCCTGAACTTTGTTTTCAGTGACTAAAGTATACATATGTATATATATATATATATTCTTTACTAAGAAATAGGCAGTTTTGTTTTGTTATTTTTTGTATTCATGCACATAGAAAGTAAACAACATTGAATAAGTACACACAGTAGGAGGGAAAAACAAAACTTAATTAAAATTTCATTCATCTGTCATAGGGAATAAATTCGTAAAAATAAATACAGACAACAAATATCGCTCACGTGGATCATACTAAAATAAAAGTGGGTGCATAAAGTTTTGTTGTACACACAGTACAACATAAAAAACAAACACACTACGGAACAGTGTAATCGTCATAGTAACAGGTAAGTTTTTCATGGCATGAATATCAGTTGGAGAACCATTGAAAACCAACAGGGAGTACTGGACAGCTGTATGGTCCTCCTAGTTCGGGATTCATCAGCAGCACGCACCAAATGGGTTTCAAACTCAGGACCTTCCGGTTACAAGGCATGCTCATATACCATCCAGCCAATTGGCACCCGATTCAATAGCCAGCCTATGAATTCCAACTTCTACCAATCCGTGATTTAGTGCGACCATCAAACAATGTTGTCGGTGCGATATCCATCCTCACACTTGACTGGATGGACCTCACTGGTCACGACTTCTCACTAGAACTCCAGGAAACTCTGTCCTGAAGCGAGCATCAGATTAATTTTCTATAGTTTGGTTTGTAAGGATTGGTAGAAGTTAGATTTCATGGACTGGCCATTGAACTGGGTGCCAATTGGCTGGATGGTATATGAGCTCACCTTGTAACCGGAAGGTCCTGGTTTGGAAACTCAGTGGATGCGTACTGCCGATGAGCCGCTAACTAGGAGGACTACACAGCAGTCCAGTACTCGCTGGTTTTCAATGGTTCTCTAACTGGTATCAGTTCGTGGTCAAGTTCATTATAAATTTAACCTGTTAGTAAAAAAAATGCACTTCATATGTACAACTGTGTATGAAATCCCGAAAAAAAACTTGAAAAATTACTGAGACATAGCTGGATGAGTGTCGACAGAGTCATGTAATAGCTTTGGAGCACTCATCCACTGAAACCACCTTTGACAGTTGGTGATTTGAGCCAGCCATTCAGGGAGGTGTACACTACCTGTCTGGTTGGAGTCTTCGGGATGCTAAGCATCACTGGTTGGAGACTGTTCTCACTAGCTCAGATGCCCATTCACTGTCTGTGATTTCCCATATCAAGTAAACCTTCATGACTTTCCATGTTACTATTCTTTCTGTCTATTTCTGCTTATTGTATAT